AAACAGTATTATAGCCGGTTGACTAAAAATTTCTTATTTATATAAAAATACAAATTCTATAAGAAAATCGTCGTCTGACAATAAAAGCCCTTTAAACTATCGTTCTAAATCCATATGACTTTAGCCTTCAGGGTTATCTAAAGTTTAAATAACACACGATCGTTTGTTTAAGTTTAAATTTAAATTACAATAGCCATTATTTATATTCTAAGATTGAAAGTTTGAAGTCCTTAAATTTCTTAATCATATCATCGCAAAGATGTAAAATCTATTATTATTAAAATGAAAAACTACTTTTTCCTTTTTATTTTGTTTCTTTGCGTTATAACAATAATTGTTATAGCCGTATATTTTTATATAAATAGCGCGAATGTAAACGATGTCTTTCTTAAATAAACAAGCCCAATTTTATAGGAGCTAGTTTATTTCATCATAAATTATCGTTGTAGTCTTTTTTAGAAAAATACACTTCATACTTCATATTATAATCTCATATAAATAATATAAATCACAGTTTTAATGAATTAATTATCTTAAATAGTTAAATATACTCAAATGTTTTAAGCGACTATTAATGTCGCTGATAAATTGTAACTTTTATTAGAAATTGGATTATATTTCTCATTGAAAAACGTAGGAGTAGGTCGAGTCAGTGTTTAGATTACATTTAAAAGTGCCGTAAGTGTTTGGGATCGAATTACCTCATTGATTACTGCTAATTATTCTTTGATTATACGAAATGCCTATTTCATTACAGTACAGAATCGTTATTCGTAAATATCGTCATTCAACAGATTATTATAAATTGATTTTATTGGCTCTTCAAAGTTGTCTCTTAGCGGTCTTATCGCATACGGAATCTTCTACATCGTATAATCGGGTTTCGTGACGACTTGACAAGTGCCGGCTCATCTAGTCTCCATGCCATTTGTTAAGTATTAAACGATTGTAATTCAAGTTGTCCTTTTTAAGACTTCCGTAAGCAAGCCACTTCATTGATAATCTAAAGTATCAATATAATTAATTAATTCACCCGATAATCTACATTAATTTTATTCGTTTAGGTCTGCTCTTCGCCTTTTAATCTTAAATCAATTTGTATATCAGTGTCAAAAGGATTTTTAAGATGCTTAATGATCGATCGAGTATACAATTATAGAGAATATTACTTATGTGAAATATATTTTATATTCAATATGCACTTGATATCGCTATCATTTTTGCTATTATAGTATTGCCATTATTTATTTTTTTTTTTTTTTTTTTTTTTTTTTTTTTTTATTGACAATAAAAATATTATTATACGATTATTGTAATTGTTGGAAATAGAAAGAATAATGTCAATTTCTTTATAAAACTTGTATGGACAGTGTCATTTAAAGTGTCATTGAATTAATATAAATTCTTTATAATATAAATTATACTCGATGTATGCTGAAAAAAAAACATTACTTTCAATAAATTCGTTGTTCTTATTGTGATTGAAGTCATACTTTGAAATGAGTAATGTAAAACAATATATGACGTAATGTTTTCTTAATAATTCAATTACATTTCGTAAACTTTTTTTTTTTTTTTTTTTTTTTTCAATTTTATATATTTTAAATTTTTTTTTTTTTTTTTTTTTTTTTAAATTAATAGTATATTATTATATTTTAGAAAAAATGACACTTATCATTGGTGCATAATCTCTAAGCCCCAAGCTTTTTTAAATAGAATAAAAGTAATTTGAAGAATAAAATATGCCAGCCTTTTTATTTAACAAATTGTAACCTTTGCAAGGTTAGTTACACGTATTACTTTATAGATTTACAAAGTATAAGACATTATTACTTAAAATACTTCCTTTCTTGATCATAATGATAATGTTTTTAATGGATATATAATATGCGATTGAAAATTAGCGCTAATCATTGTTTATAAAAACACAAGTTTTCATTAATAATGTATATTTGTATTGATGAATTTATTATGAAATTTCTATTTTATCTTTAAATGAACTTCATCTTTATTTGGTATTTGCCTTTCTTAGTGGATAATTATTAAAATTTTTTGCATAAATATAATAAATATCTAAAACCATGCTTTTTTTAAAAGAAAATGAAATTTATAATAATGATTAGTTATAATGATTTTACGATTTTCTATTACAATTTCTTTAATTATTTGCTTATATTGTTATGGTTGCGATTGAAGAATTAATCGAGCTTTATGACATCTTATTATGGATCAATATAAGCGACGAAATCTGTAAAAATCTATAATATAAATATAAACGATATTCAAAAAAGTTTTGTAATTATTTAAAAAAACATCAAAAAAACATAATTCTTATAAATTTATGATTAATATAAAATTTTATAGTCTAATAAGCTACTTGCTTTTCTACAACGTAATTTTATTTTTTATTGCCAACATCATTGCCAATTATTTAAATTTAAATATTTATTTCTCGTAAAAATCATTTTATTATAAATTCATTTATAATAATGAAATACGTATACGTATATATATATACTACTGTTTAATAATATAAATGTAAATATTATATTTATTTTTTACAATATTCATTACTATTATCATATGAAATTATTCATTTGTCAATCGATCCTCTACAGCCTTATCGACTAAATTTATTCTACTTTCTTCCAGAATTTATATAAATAAATGAATTATTATGTTTACAGTAGTCTTATCAAAACTAAATTCATTGTTGTTATAGATATTATTATTATGCGACGATTATGCTGTGATCTTTTGTTACGTTAACTAAATAACCTTGAATAAATAATTTTAATTAATATATTAATTAATATAATTAAAGCATATTAATAAATAAAAAATTATGTATCAACAATACATATATGTTTAATATATATATGTTTTTATTTATTATTAAAAGAATTAATTGTTTGTAAGAAATACCATATTGTTCAAATGTGGTTATTGGTCTTTTTCAATTTCCAAAAATTGTAACGAACTGTATGCCTATAAGTGAACAACCATTGATTTTATCACATCATTTGTATTTTCTTCAACAAGTCCGTGACGAATTTCAGAAAATGTGTATTCGCAAAATTTGCATGTAAATCAATCAACAGCTTGAGAAATCAATTGATAATTGAGAATTATTTCTAGCAAGGAATGCATTATTTTCGTCTCTCTCCTATGACCCGATTAATATTTTATATTAAGTTAATTTTCTATTACTAATTGAATCACGTGAAAAAAAAACTATTATTTACAATCAAGTTGTAATTAAAAGAAAAGAAAAAAAAACATTTATTCACTATCGTGCACAACGACCTTGAAAGAAACAAGTTTTAGAACAAACATCTTCGGTATTTTAATACTAAATCAAAATATCGTATTGTTCATTGAAAATGAAAATCATTGCAAATATAATAATATTATCTCGATTATAATTGACTATTCGATTGTCAAAGAGAAATGGAACTGCACAGCTAAGGCTCGCGTTTACTTATTTTTAATCACTGGCCTTTATTAGTTGTGACCACTAGGTTTTGGCATTAAGCGATAACATGGCGAGTGCGCGGGTCGAATAAGGACGGAAAAAAGGTCAGTTTGCGTTCGATTTTTTCGGCATTCAGTTTTTTTTCTCGGACATTAGATGATTCGCGAGTGAACCTCGATTGATAAGAACTTTGCTTAGGATCTTGCAGGCGCGACAAAGATTATCGACAATTTAGAAGTGCCAATGGTGAATAACAAATAATAAGTGAATTACGTATTATTTCGTCATTGGCAGGGATAACGCGGTCAAGCATAATTTCCTTTCGAATGTGAATTATCGGTTTAAGGAGATAATGAGCGCCCGTAGCGAGATCCACGAAACACCGCGAATCCTGAACCCCAAAAGCTTTCAATGATTTTCAATTATAAAATTGCTTTTCCCTCTTGATTTTCAACGATACGTAGTTCGATGAGTTTAAAGTTATTTATCAAGAGAGTTAATTAAATATTTCTTCAATATAAATTGGGGATTATAGTGAGACGAAGATGAAATGAATTTTATAATTTCAAACATTCTTTGTCCCTGTAGTGTTATTATGAAATTTACTCGCTATTAAATTATCAAAAATTATTAGTATTATTATCTTAATGTTCGTTGATATATGCGCAAACGCTTAAGATTATCAATAAAGTAGATTTGCTATGTGTTTATAATTTATAGCGTAAAGTTAACGATTTTTTTTTTCTTAACACGAAGTTGGAGTTTATAGTTACGACTTACAATTGTTAAATAACTGCAACGAAGATGATCAAAGTTCAAGATGACTACGCTACTTCGCCATTTTTTCTAAAAAAAAAAAAAAAAAAAGAAAAAAAGAAAAACTATTTTCTTTCTATTTCTTAAAACAAGATGAATAATATGGTGGCGTAGAAGCAAACAATAAAGAATAACCTAAATAAGATATTGTAAATAAAATTTCTTACCTAATGAAACGTCTCGTAGAGAGCATTGGACGACATTTAACCAACTAATGTCTTTTTTTTATTTTCTCCAATGAAATTGAAGATGAAATTAGAGAAAGAAGTTTGAAAGGACGCTAAATTATAAGAATTGCCTAACATGTCAAGTTAAATTTTTTGTGAATATACACGAGCCAATATATATATATATATATATATATATATATATATATATATATATATATATGTATACGCATATGCATACATATATCCAACACCCGTACAATCTAAATGTTTGTCAATATACTAAAGATATAAAGTTCCATTTGAAAATTGCAAAAAATTGGTTAATCTTAATTAATCACAAGAATACATTTATTTTTCAATATACGATGGACAAATTACATCTGCAGATAAGTGCATATAATATGTTATTAAAATCTTTGACAATGGTATTAAAGTAATTGGATTTAGTGTATTAATGTACGATATCATAGCGCCAATATAATGTAAAAAGACCGGAAAGTAAAAGCAACGCTAATAAATCCAAATGTCTTTTATTTTAGATTCGAGATGTGTGTAAGGATTTGATCCTTACGGACGAGCAGCTCCAGCTCGTCATGGATAGATTTATTTGTGAAGTCAACAGAGGTTTATCACGAGAGACTCATAATGAGGCAATCGTCAAGTGCTATACAACGTACGTTCAGGATCTTCCTATGGGCACAGGTGAGTGTTAATCTCGCATTTAAGAGGTAAGCGATCCTTACACGATCCTTATCGTCATGACTCGCGTAAAAGTCGATACTTGTTGCGCTGTAACATTGTATACATTAGACTCACTACCTTACACGCAAATATGAATCTGGAAATATTAATCGCTATAATTATCTGTCATTAAAACTACTGCTCAACTAAAGCTTTCGGATCAAGATGAATCCTCGTTTTAGAATGAAAAGAAAAAGAAAAAGAAAAAAGAAAAAAGAAAATGAAAATAACAGTCATTGATAGATATTCGAGCCATTAGCTTTTCATCGTACATTAGCGTCGCTCAAAATGTCAAAATTCGAACGTTTTAAGCGATGAAGCCCGTTCGAAGATACTTCGAAGAGAAAGATAATAATGTTTATTGAATAATGTGTATACGTGAATTGCTGCAGAGAAGGGAAACTTTTTGGCGCTCGACTTGGGCGGCACCAACTTCCGCGTCCTACTGATAACCTTGAACGGCCAGAATTTCGACATGAAGAGCAAAATATACGCGATACCACAAAGTCTGATGCTGGGTACGGGGAAGCAGCTGTTCGACCACATCGCCCAGTGTCTCGCTCTCTTCGTCAAGGACCTCAAGCTCGAGAAGGAGGTCCTACCGCTGGGCTTTACATTCAGCTTTCCTCTCACGCAGCAGGGCTTGACCAAGGGTCTGCTCGCCAGGTGGACCAAGGGCTTCAATTGCAGCGGTGTCGTGAACGAGGACGTTGTCAGTCTGCTCGAGGAGGCAATAGCAAGGAGAAACGTGAGCGAGCTTTCCTTGTTTTTCCATAATAAAGCCTTTGTGTTGCTTTGGGAAAGCTTTGGGACCGAATAGTTTATGGCGAACGCGTGTATCGCCTGTATCGTTTACTTTCTCTTCATCGTGCGACTTGAAATGTTTTTCGATCGTCGTGCAACCAAGTAGATGCGAATTTTCTCTAAACTATTTATTTTGCCTGTTACCTGTAAATGATCTGTGAACAAAGAGAGATGCCGACAATTATTTACTTGTTTCGTGTTCGTCGAAACGAAATATCTTTATATCTTTATTTATTATTTTTATTTATTTGTTTTGTTAAACAAAATTTTTCTGTAAAATTAAACTATAGATTATGCATTTGTGGTTTTATGAATATAATGTTAAATTCTATTAATGAACGAACGTTCGTTTTATACAAATCTAAATGTTTCGTAAAATCAATTTCGACTAATGTTGATTGTTTCTATTCTTGTGCAATTAATACGATAAAAATTCACGTCGACCAACAATTAAAATATCTCTATAATTAACAAACATTAGAACTCTAATGCTTTTATAAGTGTTAACCGATGCTATTAACGAATGCCATTCTTATTTTCCCTCATTCATACATTATTAATATATATTACAAATTTACAAAATTGCGATATTTCAAAGTATCTCACTACTGAGTACTCACTACCGTGTCATTATGATGAAAAAAAAATCCTGGTAAAATTTGTAATTATTTAATATCTTTTGTCCCTCCTATTAAATTCTATAATGCACGCACATTGAACAATAAAAGAAACTTAACACCAATATTTTTTAGTCACTCTCGTTATACATACATGTGCCTCTAATTATAAAAGAAGGCTAAAAAGTTATTGTCATAAGCTTTTCAATATTATCAGTATCAACGAATATGTGTACGCGCGTATATCAAATTATTCACATATTTAGATTCATTGGTCAAAACGTCATTGAACGACTTTCTTACGTTCAAGGTTATATTATAATCTATACTTCTCAACACATCGATCGATAGCTTTAAAAGAATCATTATTTTCCATTATTTATAGTCAATTAAATATTTCAAACAAATTAAAAATTATTGATTATTGATTATTATTATTATCATTATTATTATTATTAAATCAAAGCAATGTCACATAGTACAGTGAACACTCCGAGTGTGCAAGTTGATAAAATTAATTTTATATGTCATGTTACTTAATGCGATTCGATTTAATTATAAATGAAAGTAATTTGCCACTACCTTATGGCTATACTAGTTCAATATTAAAATATAACAACAAAGTAGTTTAGCATGGTAAAAAGATTTAAGAAATCGATATCTCAATTTTATGTAAATTTTCGCTAAAGGTGTTAGAGAATATTTTCTTGCCTCAACACGCGGGATATGGAAAAATTTAATCTGTATGTTTTAATTCATAGGACGTTAAGATCGACGTGTGCGCCATCTTAAACGACACTACTGGAACACTTATGTCCTGTGCTTGGAAAAACAAGAACTGTCGCATTGGCCTCATTGTCGGTAAGTTTATAATCAATATTATGGGCGTATATAATGGATACTCTCATGTATAATAATACCTTACTTGTAGCATTACAGTACGTTGCTAAATTAAATTTCTCACACTCTCTCTCTCTCTCTCTCTCTCTCTCTCTCTCTCTCTCTCTCTCTCTCTATGCAACGCTTACCTACCTACCTACCTACCCACCTACCCACCTACCCACCTACATACCTACCTACTTATTTACCGGCCTATTTATATCAATTATTTCTTCAATTATCCATCTCTATCTTTATACGTTATCTTAAATTGATGAAAATTTTTTTTTTTTTGTTAATAATATTTTTAATTCTGCATATTTGCGAGTACGCCGATGTATTATTGCTACACTTTGTCAAGACATTTGCCTTCGAAATCCCTATGAATACATTACAAGTAAAAGCAAAAGAGATGAAAGATTTTTTTTTTGTTTTTGTTTTTTTTTTTTGTTTTTGTTTTTGTTCATATTCAGCAATCTTGAAGCGCAGATGATCCGACATATAGTCACTCGATAAAATTGAATAATACGAGTTGCGGGACAGAGTGAGACGTGGAGAAAATATTAAACAACGTTTAATTACGAGTTGCCTGATTGTGCCAGTTAAGTAAATAAAAATGCTCGATAAAAAGAAAACAAATAATTGGCCCCCTAGGGAAAACTGGCGTATATTTCCCTCTCTACCGGTAGTCTATCCATAACGATCTTTCGGCGAACTTTGAGCTGCCTCGGAGTCGAGTCAGACGTGTCCTCGGGGCGACGGTGAGAAAGTATCGAATTAATAATGCTCCCCATTACCAGGAACTGGCAGCAACGCCTGCTACGTGGAAAAAACGGAGAACGTCGACTGCGCGATACCGGGCCGCTACGACCCGGAGAAGACGCACATGCTGATAAACACCGAGTGGGGCGCGTTCGGCGAGTACGGCACCCTCGACTTCATCATCACGGAGTTCGATCGGGACATCGACGAGAACTCGATAAACCCGAAGAAGCAGATATTCGAGAAGATGATTTCAGGCATGTACATGGGGGAGCTCGCCAGGCTGGTACTGGAGAAGCTCGCTAACAACGGTCTCCTCTTCAACGGCAAGTGCTCTTGCGAACTGCGAAAGCGGAGCAAATTCTTCACAAAATACGTCTCCGAAATCGAGTCGTAAGTTGATTGGGAGACCCACGGTGGTCGAGACTTTCTTTCTCCCCGACCCTCTCCCTCGTCCCCTTCATCGTCAATCGCTCGCTGAATTATCGATGCTCGATCGGTAAATAAGGTTCAATCGTCTATTTAATCAATTAGCACTCTCCACGCGAGCTTTCTTACGTCGGACTTTCTTCCCCCTTCTTCTTCTTAGTTGATTGGGAGACCCACGGTGGTCGAGACTTTCTTTCTCCCCGACCCTCTCCCTCGTCCCCTTCATCGTCAATCGCTCGCTGAATTATCGATGCTCGATCGGTAAATAAGGTTCAATCGTCTATTTAATCAATTAGCACTCTCCACGCGAGCTTTCTTACGTCGGACTTTCTTCCCCTTCTTCTTCTTCTTCTTCTTCCCCCTTCTTCTTCTTCTTCTTCCCCCTTCTTCTTATTCTTCTTCATTAATGTTCGAGCAAATAATTCTTCGCCATCTCTGTACTTATAAAAGACTTTTCATACTTTTAATTAATTATCATTTTTATCTATATATCTCAACCATTACCGACGATTATTAACTTTCATCATTCTTTTCGTCACTCTCGTACGTTCATTATATCCGTTAAAATACGTTTAATTCTTCGCATCGTTAAAAAACATAAGAAATAAGTATTGGCAAAATGATAATTAATTGCTAATTATATACACGTTATTCTTTTAAAACAATTCCTCTTAAAAGAGCATCGAAAAATTCAATTTCATCTGGCAAGCACACTGCCGGTACTCTTAGAAAAATCCCTTTAATCATCATCGTGATCAATGACCACCTATTATTCGTTCGAGTGAACGGATTAGTAATGAGAGAGTAATGAGGTGACACGTTGTGAGGGAGGATGACGACGATAATGGTGGGATGAGGGTGGGAGGGAGGGCATCGAGTGAAATTAGTGACACCATGATCGACCGATTGTTTCATCATAGCGAACCGAAAGGAAAGTACGCGAATTGTCGGGAGATCCTTGCGGAGTTGGGGATTAGGAACGCAACGGACCAGGACTGTGAGAATGTGCGGTTCGTGTGCTCGGTGGTATCGAGGCGGGCAGCTCACTTGGTTTCGGCTGGCCTTGCCGCGCTCCTCATAAAGATGGGCGAGAACAACGTGACTGTTGGCGTCGACGGTTCCGTCTACAGATTCCATCCTCACTTTCACGATCTCATGGTCGAGAAGATAAGTATGCTGCAGCAGTACAAGGTGAGCGACTCGTATTTACTTTGATTCTCCGCTCGTTAATTAATTATACTTGTAATGAAATAGTCGCTGGAGATTATAACGCGGCAGATAAATAAAAAAAAAAAAAATAAAAATAATAATAATAAAACACTCGCAAAAATGTCATTAGATTATCGTGTCGGCGTCCTGTCGGTAAAGTAGCTTCTTTACGAAGCACGTAACTATCAATGGCACAAGCACCGTTCTATTATCTCATACTGTTCTATCTTTTTCTTTTTGCAGTTCGATCTCATGCTCTCCGAGGATGGTAGCGGTCGTGGTGCGGCGTTAGTCGCCGCTGTAGCCTCACAAAACAAGTGAAGATGGGCGGCAGGGCCGCTTAAGGCTTACTTAAAAACACGATTTTTAAAATAAAATTCGTTAAGTTTATGTGGATGTTTGTTAATTTTAAACTACGCCTTTTGTGCCTATATACATAAGTGTATCGGTTCGCCAGATTTTTCTTTGTTTGTTTTGTTTTGTTTTGTTTTATTGAAACTCCGTTATGTAAAGCATATATATATATATATATATATATATATATATACACTACACACACTACACACTACACACTACACACCACACACGCACACACGCACACACACACATACGTGTACATATATACATACTTATATATATATATATATATATATATATGCTTTACATAACGGAGTTTCAATAAAACAAAACAAAACAAAACAAACAAAGAAAAATCTGGCGAACCGATACACTTATGTATATAGGCACAAAAGGCGTAGTTTAAAATTAACAAACATCCACATAAACTTAACGATTAAGTCGCAATGTCGATGAGTTAACAGGCATTTTGGATTGTTTGCGGGATATTGTGGAACTTGGGAGCGGATAATTATTAAATAGAAGATAAATATATTACACGAACTATCGATCAATTCGCGATAAATTCGCGACTGTTAAATATACGATTGCTTTAAAGAGTTTTACGAGCGATGATTCGCTCAATGGGACGAATTTCGTCACCAAAACGCAACCGTCGAGCCAGGAATCAATGATTAACAATCGTATCGCAGTCGTAAGATTTTTCGTTCTAAATGCACAACTGTGGTCTATAATCAAGAGATTATAGATCGACTCGATCTATATCGACTTAATATCAACGCGAACGATATCGATCGAGCCTATTTACGCGAAGATTGTACGATCCAGGATGTCGTAAATGGACTCGACGGCGATGATGGTCGAGCAGCCGATTGCCGACGACTAAGTCGATCCTTACGTCGCGAGAGTCTCATTTATTGAACTTGGTTGCCCTCTTGTCAAATTCGCGAAATAGTTTGTTGGATGGATGCGACCGATGGTTCGAGCGAGTACGATTATGCGATGCATCATCATTTGACGTTTTCAATTAAATGATATTGGATCGCGGATGTATATGCGATCTGACAAAGCAGTTAAAGACTCAGTGGCCACCCGTATCACGTAATTTAAATTTTCAAATCAGTCGGGATAACGCGTCCTTGACCTCAATGAGTAAGCGAAAGATTAAAAAAAAATTTCCCGACTCATAGAGAGATAGAGAGAGAAAGAGAGAGAAAGAAAATGCGCGACGATGAGAAAGTGACGATTGTTTCGTGCTCGGGAAGGTTGAGAAGACGCTAAGCGATTGCTTTTCAGATCGCTTCGCTGGTCTAGCGATTATTAGACAAAAGTATCTCTTTCGCGTTATAACCGCGATCTTCATGTCTCACATGGTTATATATAATATCTCATATTTGGTAAATCTTTGGTATTCCAGATCAAGCTTTTCCCTCAATCTAGGAAATCACGTGCCACGGTAATTTTCATAATAAAATATCTCGATAATACTAAAAGCAACGTATATTGGTGAATCTTTTCAATACAGAGACATTCATTTTAAACACTTTTACCGTTTTGTCTCTCTTTTCTCGTTTTTCTCATTGTCTACGTAATCGTCTGGGCATCCGCCTATCTATCTATCTATCTATCTATCTATCTATCTAGCTCTCACTCGTATGTTGCATAAATCCAAATAAAACATTACCATAGAGTGGATTTTTTGTTTGAGAGATATAGCAACATCATCTTTTCCTGGCATTGGCCATGTCATGTTCCTTGCTTTGACAATATTGGATTTGGCGATACTTTTAGAGGCTGGATGATGTTGTTCAGTTTGTCGATTCTACGAGGAGGGGTGGGGGGTGGGGGTGGGTGGGCGGAACCACACCATTGTTATTATTAGTAAATCTAAAATCGTATTATTGTCAATCATCCCTTCGGTCGACTATTTTCTCGAATCAAATCTCTTCGAATAAACTTTACACCCCCGTCTAATTTTTATAATTCGTATCCCACACCCCTTTTCTCTCTCTCTCTCTCTCTCTGCCTCTCTCTCTGCCTCTCTCTCTCTGCCTCTCCTTTTACGCACATACACACGGATACATATTTTTAATGTCTCTTCAATTGGTTCTTCGATAGATAGTGGCGTTTGTTGTAAAAAAAAAAAAAAAAAAAAAAAAAAAAAAAAAAAAAAAAAAAAGAAATGAAAAACCAAGATCACAAAAATTATACAAAGCTGCGCTATATATTTTGATACCTAAAGAGCCTCGCATCGTTATCGTATTTTTAATATATAAACGAGCAAATTAAAAAAAATATATATAAATAAAGATTTTTCGCTTTTTAATGAAAATCAATTTTCTTTTAATATTCATTATTATTATTATTATTATTATTATTATTATTATTATTATTATTATTATTACAATTACTATTATTAATATTATTAATATTATTACTATTATATATTGATTTTATGGACGTTACTTATCGAATTCGTTTTAAGAATTTGGCCCCGTCGGCAGCCGAAGCACGCATACATAATAAATAAATGCCTTAGTTGCCGATCGTTATTTTACGAGAGAAATATTTATCTGTAAATTCATTGTAATTAATTATATTCTTATTGATTATTAAGGCTATTAAATTTTACCGTGCAGTGCTAAAAGAAAGCTGCAAATGCATCTTAATGAAATGAAAAGTGGAGATAGCGTTGCATCAACAAGAGCAAAAAAAATTTTTCATCGAATGCGAATTCGACGTACGATTTTTAAATTTCAACCATGGACTGACGGATTAAAGGTCATATTACTTTGAGAACGATAATGTCATATTGCGATAGCTATGCGCTAATTTCGTTAGCCACTGTAACAAGAATTTATCTGTAAAGACACGTTGCGTAATAAGAATATATTGTTTCTTCAGCTACAGCTGAGTAATAAAATATTGTCGAATGCAAGAATTCACGACACGTAATATAAACTTAACGTGCCCAAGTAGGGATGAAGAATTTCATTTTCTTATGCTCTTTAATTTTTACGTAAATGACAGTCGTATTACAGATGATAAATATAAGTCGATAAAGGAATGATTGATACAATATATTTTTAAATACAAACTCAAGAGAATAAGATTGATTTTTCAAGCGAATCTCGCTCAATCGGCAATGAAAGGATATAAATGATAAATGCAACATTAATGAACCTCGAAAGCATGTGTCTAGCGAGATAAAGTGTCAGCATGAGATTTGCACTGCGATAATGAATTTATGCGATGGCATAAATGATGTTGCCTGTGGTATCATATCGATGAATGTTACGAATACTTTTTACACTTTTCACGAGCACTAAGTTTATCATCCGCTCAATGCGAAATATATACAACGAAAAATTAAAAAAAAAAAAATTAAAAAAAAAAAATTAAAAACAAAAGAAAAACAAAAACAAAAACAAAACACAACAAAACAAAACGTAACAAAAAACAAAAAAGCAAAAAAAAAAAACAAAAAGAAAAAAGCAAGAACTATCATGTCGTTTTGGCTATATTCTTCAATTTATTATGTATATGTATTTTTGTGTACGTACATTCATTATAATGGCGAGCGTACAAGGTGATTGAGATTTATAAGCATCAGAAAAATATAACGAGAGCGATAAAAATAAAATGAAGAGGTAGGGGTAACGATAAGTAAAAACAATTTGCAAAAAGCAGTCTGCCTGGCGATTAATAGAATCATTTTCATTGCTATGTGACTCATTACAGAGGTTAATCAACGCAATATCAATGCAAGATTTCCCTCTCACAGATGCTAATTAATGTTGGTGATGATGATGATCATGGTCTAATGTAATATAAGTACGAGTGCAAGATCGTTATCTTTCCTCCAACGTTAAGTAATGTGAAGCGTTTGAACGAGCACACACAGATTAGCTGCATAGAATTTAATCATAATTTCTTGTTTCTGTTTTTTTTTTTTGTTTTTTTTTGTTTTTTTTTTGTTTTTTTTTTTTTGTTTTTTGGTGCCATTTGTTTTCGCCGTTCGTAATTATGTAAAATGTTTTATATGCGCAAACAAATAAGTCAGTAGGTAAATTGTCGGACTTGTCCTCGCTTATGAATTCAATTGAAAATTATTTTAGAGCATACTATTTTGTACTATTATCAAGCAAATTAAAATCAAACGAGCGAAAAAAACAAGAAAGAATTTATGTACATTAAATATATTATGCGAGGTTGCACGTTTTAAAATTTTTTATCCAAGATAGATTTAAATTACAATGGCGTTGTTGAATGTGAAAATTGATTAGTAATAGATAATGCAATAATTATTCGATCTTTTCTTCTTTATTTGCTTTTCCTCATCTTCGTTAAATGCTTTCCTTTACGACTGTTCGTTACACATTTTCCAATTTAAATTTCGAAATTCGAAATTCGGATTCTCATTTTACAACTAGATGATGTACTTTAAAGTGTCATAAAATTTGTTAATATTAAAAGTTATAAAAAATATACGAGTCAATCAATGTAATGAAATATAATAAACATAGTACATTCATATTACTGTGTTTATATTATATAATATATTCATGTAGATACATACATATATATTTATAAACATTAATTTTTTTATTTATATATAAACAATAAAAGTTTTAGAGTTAAGAGTAGCGGATATAAATGAAATAATTAATTTTTAATGTTTTCAATTGAATTTTTGAGCGATAAGTAATTGAAGTTTCATGTTATATTTTAAAACCGCAGTTATTTTTAAGGGGGAAACGAGACAAATTTATTTTTTTTTTTTAAAACCGAATATTCTTTAATTGCCATGGCTAAAGTGTCGAGGAATTGTTGTCACCTGCACGTTAACATAAATTTATTATAAGAATTTTGTTACTTTTAAATTGATTTATTCGAATTACTTTTTATAAAAGGCTGTAAAGTGCGTATATTTATTTGAATGTTATTATTATTATTATCATTATTATTATTATTATTATTATTATTATTATTATTATTATTATTTTATTTTAATTTTATATATAAAATAATACAAAGCGCATTGAGTTGAAAAATACACTAAGTGTGTGCAGGTGCTACAATGTAATGAAGCGTTATATATATATAAAAAACAAAAATAATAAATAAATAAATAAATAAAAAAAAAAAACAATTTTTCAGAGGATCGCTATTTTTCAAAATTTTTTAAACAAAAAAAAAATTTATTCCAACGCAGGCATTAAATTTCAATCATTCGACCATAATTGTTTTATATCCAAGGATAAATATCATTGAATATGTATACGTTGAAATTGCAAAATAAAAAAAAGAAAATTAAAATTCTATACATAAATTCATTAAAAATATGATTTCGTTTTGTTAAATTTTTTAATAAATATTATATTTATTTGAGATTTGATTAAATTTCATATTATAAATAGAAATTTATTTTATCACAATAGACTGTGTATTATTAGTTTTTCGAATCCTGTTTGAAATATTTATGCGGAGGTTTTAACGATTGCGTTGACATTACAACGATACAACATTCGACAATTTTCAAATATTCTTCTATTATAAGTTTCAATATCTGTAATTCGAGATATTAACAAGATCTTATCTTAAAAAAATCAATATCATTTTACGAAATACCATTATTATACAAAGAAATATATATATATATATATATATATATATATATATATTGGAATTATAAACTCCGAATTAGTTAAGCTAAAACACATAATAACATTTCGTACAGACTAATATATCAATATTGTACGATGATTTGTTAATTAATAAATATTTTTATACTACATTTTACAGATTTTATGTTTTTTTTTGTTTGTTTGTTTATTTGTTTGTTTGTTTGTTTTTTTTTTCATATTGAAAAATATACTTGTACCTTACATAACTTGTCATAAGAAAAATGAAATTTTAAGCAAAATTTAAAAATTAGAAATATTTAACAATAATTTTCTTTGGCGCCAAAGACTTTTTATACGTCTCTTATATATTATAAAACCGATCGACATAATTATAATACATCGACCAAAATTTATCATAAATCAAAAAGCAAATTATAGTACAAACAGCGTATTAGAGTAATTAAAATGAAAATTAGTTCACCTACGTAGTCATTTATTTGAAAAAATATAAATAATTTTTTCTACATATACGTATAAACACACTCACGTTTAATGACAATAGTAATATTCATTTTATATTTTCAATATTACGGTAATGCTCGGAATGTTTAATGGATTCATAATTAATGTTGCTAATGGCAGTTATTTAAAGATACTTCAAAAATATGTAAATTGACAAATTTTCAATGTACTATAATTGGATATTCGAAAGAATTCTCTTAATACTCTGCGCGTAATATCGTTCATTAATTTTCAAAAAAAAAAAAAAAAAATAAAATAAAGAAAAGAAAATCACTTAATATTAATAGTGTTTTGAGCATAAGCATGTTTATTATATTATGTACATGTAAATGTTTTATCGAAAATCATTAAAGCAAACAAATGTTTATTGGGAGTATCTCGAATAATGCTCCAGTCAAGTCAATTATTATTATTTCCTTATGCGACTAACGCGCGATTAACAAAGCTTCAATTAGTGCAAATATCATTCGCTTATTCGCTTAAATATTACTTTACAACAATATGGATAACATGCATAAAGTGGAAAATATTCATTAAGTATAGTATGGCAGTCGATATTCAATTAAAGTTTGTAAAATAATAATTCGTAATAATTTTCAGCAAAGATATATGTCTCAAATTTAATTTAGAGGTGCTTTTTTTACTACGGAGAAACGATTATTGTTTTATTAGCCAAGCTATTACGTATTAGGTATTGAAAGAGCAAAAAGTCCGTAGGAGATAAACTTTTAATATCAATGATATATTTGCCTCTTGCTAATACGACGTAATTTCCAATGATTAATTGACTACTATTGCCTCGGGAGTTCTATTGATTTTTTTGTTCTTTTTATCGATCATTTGATCGTTTCAGCGCCGCATTTCGCATTTGTTTTCAACTTCTTATTCGAAAAGTAATGGAGCGATGTGCCTACTACCACCCCCTACCACCCCTGACGTTACGTTCTATTCGCATAACAATAATAATAACAATAATATCGCTTAATATCTTTATAATGCACATGGCTCTTCTATGCAAATTACAAAACGGATTTTAATCTCAACGATTGTGCTACTCGACGTTACTCGTATCGGTTTAAAAAAAAAAAAAAAAAAAAAAAAAAAACTCCATTTGTACTTGCAAAATAGGCTTAATTACTTCTTTTGTTTTTGTTTTGCTTTTCACTTAAAAAAAAAAAAAAATCTTACGAAATCGCTTACTCGTTTATCTAAGTCTGTAAATAATTGACCGAGACGTTTCACTCGCTTACTATCTTGTGACCCGAAACGACACATTCACTCAATCATCTATCGCCATATTTAATTTTTAATTTATTTCAAACTCTTATGGGTTAATCAATGCTGTTTATAAGTCGCTCCGGCACGACACGAGAAGTCGTTGTAAGAGGCTTGGAAAAAGATAAGAAAAAAAAAAAAAAATTAAAGATAAAAAATTGAATGACAAAATAGGATTAATTTTGATTTAAGCAAACCCCTTTAGCCATTAGCTTCGCTAATATTTGCGTGAAATTCGAATATATGCGGGAACGTAATCATTATGTGTCGCGCCACCTGGCGTTAAAATCTCCGTAGCTTTGTGAGTTGTGGAATACTCGCTGCATGAGGATAAAGTTTAGTCATTTTGTGACAGATTTTGGGGAAATGTAATACCGAAGTTATGTTCTGTTGCTGCGAGTCGAGTCGGGCAGACTTTAGTCTTCATTGACGTTTATCAAATCAATTGGCAGATGATATTTTTATTATCCGAGAGTGTATAAAAAATGCTGATAGTCTGGATTGTTTCGTCGGGAATGGTTGTCCATAATCACTTCCGAGTTAAGAGAAAGTAACGTAAAATTTTGAAAATAAAACTGCCCAACGACAAAAACATGATCAGCGGTCTGCAGATTGCTTTGAAAAATGCCATTGACGTGGTGAGTGGCAGTTGAGCTCCACACTGTGTACTTGCCAATTACATAATTGACTCTTGGCAATTAAGATGAATTTTGAGTGGAATTAAAGTTTTTAGTCCATTATATTTGTGCAATTGTTATGCTCTGCGCATTACGTTATTGCTTAAATTTTGTTTTTATTTCTTTCCCATGCACACTATTATTAATCATTATTAGCCTCGTTGTTATTATTAATATTATTATTATTATTGTTGTTGTTGTTGTTGTTGTTGTTGTTGTTACTTGTAATTATTATCATGTAATTATTACTTTGTAATTATATTTTGTCTGTTATAAATTTTAATCAAAGCCGAATAGGTTCGGTTAGAAGCAAATGCACTCCTTTCATGATTTTGTTTTTGTTTGGCCATGATACTCATACAATTTAAGTAGTTTTCGCGCGAAATTAGGTATTCTTGGTTGGATTGGATTCGACGGTTACCATGTCGATGACTTATAATATTTTACCGCTTTACTATAATTTTATTTCATTATATTCAAATGTATTGCTTGCGTATCTAATATATAAATTAACAAAATGACGACGGTACTCGCTGTTATCGTTTAATCGATCGCTCCATTTCTTAGATAGCTCCTCCAGCGACACCCTTGCAAGATTTCACTTATCACTGGAAGCAGCTCATGAATTTTTACGTTAATCATTTAAACGACGCCAAAGTATCGATAGAAAGAACTAGTATTCCTAAGCATTTAGACCATTTGCTGAGACTCTTGTTGGAGGAGGAGAAAAATGGGGACGAGCCAGGTCCGTGTTTGGAGTATACGCTGCAGCATAGGTTATTGGATTTACTGGCGACTCTGGCCAGTGCTGAAACACCTCCTGGGATGAGACTGGTTTGCCTGTCATTTCTGAGAAAGCTGCTGACAAAATCCAAGCATCCGCTTCTGCATCAAGCGGCTATTTATGGATCCGTTCAAAGAATGATAGCCATGTGCAATGGAAATCTTGCCTCTCCCATCGAGAATGAAGAAATACAATTTCTTTTGTGCCTTTGCTTTTTAGTTTGCAAGTATCCACACGTCACAAATATAGTCAACGATTCTAGTAATGTAGCGCAAGACGGCGAAGCTTTGCACTGCAGTATCGATAAGTCAGCCATCGACAAGGTCACTTACATTCCCGCTAGAAGGATGAAAAATGCCAATACTCTATTTAAGCCTTTGAACACGCAAGCCATCACCTTAATGAATCCTGATTTGTTTAAAACTGGGTAAATATAGCAACGATCTGTCTAGTTGTAAATAGTAATTGCTTAGTAATGATAATGATTAATCGTTACATTGGGCAATGTTTGGTAGCTCGTTCATTGAGTATTTGACATAAAATTATCTTACACACTTTTGCTTCCGATGTCGCTCTTTCTCTCACTTTAATGTGTCGTTGAAGCGGCAGAGGGTACGTTAAGAAACAATTTGCGCTATTCTCATGGGAATTTCATCGAAACTGAGGAACATTAATTCTGAACAGAGCAATGTACAGTGAAATATAATAATTTTTAATCTTATAATATTTAATATGATAAGCTCCTTGCCCATGGGAATAATGCATCGTTTGTTTCTTTAATACATTGAGATTGAAAATTTATTGCGATTGTAATTGGCAATTGTAAAAGATTGTGCTAATTTTATGTTTGAAATATTTAACGTTTGGCGACTATTGCCTTCATTTACTAACCATAGGTTTTTTTTTTAATAGTAAGCATCGACCTTACCACGTTGATTCTGTAAATAAATCGAGCTCTCAGTCGGAAGCATCGCAAGAAAACAAACAGCCCAAACATGTACAGAACGCAATCACTAGGTCCAATTCCTCTTCGCAATCGAGTAGATCCTCGAGGGATGTAGAGGCTGCTTCAGAATCATCGAGTCCTGTCGCACAACAGCCAATCGATAACATTCCAAATAGAGTTCCTGAGGAAGCGGAAGATGACACTCGAGCGAGTGAAAATTTGTATAAAGTATCCAAGGAAGTGGAATCCTCAAAATATGATCCAGTCGTAGCTGCACTCAACGATATCAAGGATTTGAGGATAAACGAGGAGTGCTTATCAAGTAACGGTGATGAAAAGTCTGATCAAAATAGTAAACATGATATTACCTTCAGCAGCTCTAGAAACCCAGAACATTCCAAATGTTTGCTCTTAGATTCGTTAAAAAGTTATATAAACAGTGCGGTAAGTAGATGAATTCTAAGCCATCCGATCTCCTTTTCTTTTATTACATTATTCTATTTACATTCAATTACAATTAATTATTGCTATTGTTAGGATAATACAATTAGGATACGTGCGTGCGAGGGAATAATGGTTTTAGCTTCGTTGGACGACCCTTTCTTTGCTGAAATCATTGCCAAAAGCGACTTATCCACAATTTTAGCAAAACGTTTGGAAGTTCTTTTTAATTTAATCCCAGCCCAAGTTGAGTCTAGCGATATAGAAGACATCGAAGTCACTTGGGGCCTCGACTCGCCACTGCTTATCAACGAGAAGAAATTTCCAGGATATCAAAGAGTGGCTGCTTTTTTCATGTGGATGGATTTTCTCGCACAACTTTCAAGAGAAGCTCACTCGGATGTCGCCGAGATATTAGCTCAAACTATCAGGATATCCTTCTTCGAGAAAGTACTAACTCATGCACTGTCAGCTCACCACGCTATTTTAATTACAGCATTAGTTACGAAATGCTTGAAGAACATTCCTACGTCTCCATTGAGCATTGGTAAGATCTCGATTAACACGTACGTATTGATAAACATTAATTGAATTACCCATTATTAAACGTGTCTTCGTTTCATTAAAACAATTGTTAGAAATGGGTCGCTGGCTGGTGGGTCAGCAACGCGTTCCAGACATTCCTGATGTTTGGTGTTGTCCAGTTCTGCACAGACTCATTGAGAATTGCTTCACAGAAAGCGACGATTTGATTACAGAGACGTTAAAATTGTTTGAAGCCATGATTGAAAAACGAGATGAACACATACTACATTGTCTAGTCTTAACGTACTTAAATACACGTGGCTATTATGATAATAGCGCGGCTGATAGTGCAATTGCTTCGTGGAGCGACGAAGAAGATGAGAGGGTAAGAGAGAAAAAAGGCTGTATGGATATTACCGAAGGAACGAGTCACAGTAGAACTTTGGCACCCAGTAATATACATAGGATTTTAAATTGGTAAGATGCCATTAAAAATTAATCCTATCGTAAGTGATAAATTATTATGCTTTTAATATACGATATTTTAAGCTCGGCTGGCTTTGCAAAATAATTACTTAGTTACATTGTGTTATAAAAATAAGGTTATTTTCATTGCAGTTTCTTGTCGTTACTACCTCGGCAATTACAAACCGAGTCTGATAGTAATTACGGACGATACATGGGAAATTGGGAGAAGGAATATTCAATAATTGTAAAAAACTGTGCTCTTCTAGCATGGCCACTAGAAGCCGTTACCTTGGATGATTCTGCAAGTTCCGATTCGAGACCAGAAATTGACAATTGTGCAAATAGATTTTACCCTGGACCTTTTCTGTCGATGCTACTAGACAAAATCAGTGGTATTCCTAAACAAAAGTATGAGATCAATTTGCATTTGACAATTCTAATTTCTAAATTGGCATTATTGCCTCATCCGTACCTTCACGAATTTCTATTGAATCCCTTAATTCCGTTGACACCTGGAAAGAAGAGTTTGTTTATTTGCCTGCAGCGACTTGTTAAGCAACTAGCGAACGAAGTTCCTAAAATACAGAACTACAAACTGATTCTTAAAGAATTAAGATTGGAAATGTTTAATGATTGCTGCGCTCAAGAATCGTCGGATAATAAAACTTATTCGAGGTATAATTATTTTCATTCTTTCAGTTAAGTTTTTATAAAATGAGCATGTAGAGATATCGTGTTTGTTAATTTTAAACATTGTTTAATAATAATTTATCATTGGTCGTCGATACAGAATAAAAAAATACATAAAGAAAAGTAGATTTCCAACATCCTAATATAAGATAATTTGAATTTGTCAATTGTCAAAAAATAATGAAATTTATTTTCAGGTCGAAAGAGGAAGAGACTTTGCTCGAAAGTGTAATAATTGTTGAAGAGTTTTGCAAAGAATTAGCAGCGATCGCATACGTTAAATATCATCATTCTACGTAGTAATAATAATCATAGTATTATTAACTTAAAAATTGTAAATTTAGCTGTATATATAATAATTTCTATTTTGTAGAACATCGATCGATCATAGAAAATGAGTGAAGTTTGAACCTTGTGCTGTCCAAATATTTAACTATTTAAACTATTTTCTATCATATAAATTATTGCATTAAAATGCACTGTTTTTGTTTTTTTTCTTTCTTTCTTTTTTTCCCTGTTTGTAACTACACGTGTAAACACTTTTTTTTAATATATAAACTATGAATCAAGAGTTGTAAAACGAAAAATTTTCTATAAACCAGTGTCTGTACGTATGTAAAAATAATAGTCATTTTCTTACAAAATAAATAATCTGTAAATTTTACAGCGATTTTCATGCACAATTGTTGTTACTGTCGATAATAAATAAATATTTTAAAGAAATCCATATGTTATTTAGTGTCTATTGACTACAAGCATGGATAATAATTTTTTAATTAAAAATCTTATATCTTGATTATGCGAAGGAAACATTATTTTTTATCTTGTACGTCAATTTTGCACAACTTTTCATAAAATCAAACGTTTTTTATATTTACCCAACACACAAGGCCCAATAATTTAAAATGGTAAAATTGTATTATCTACCAAGGCACACACGTTTCTTTAATTTATTGTAACAATTTTTCATTATTTTATTTGTGATGATGGCCTCTCGTTAATATTAACATAAGTGCCCTATTCTTTCAAATCGAACGTTTAGAATTATGTCAACAGTATTCGAATAACAGATTATTTATAGATTGAAAAAAAGTTCAATATGGTTAATTGTTTAAATACGCACGATATTCATATTTTATAAATTTCGCATTGCTTTTGTTACTAATAATAAAGACTTTGGCGATACATCGAATATTACATCCGAGATGATTACCAATATATTGGATAAACCAAATAATTATATTGTGATAATTACATTCTATAAATGTATTTATTGTACGAAATTATTTTGTCTGCCCAATAGTGTCCCTATATTTTATAATATATATTTGTGTATAAACTGACTGAGTGATAGAAATTTAGATTTAAAAAACGAGATAGATAATGAAAAAATTATTTTAACGATCTTTTATTTTTATATAAAGGATTTCAAATTCTTTTATTACTAATTTACGTCTGCTTTTATTCGATTTGCAGCTGCGTTGGAAATAGTACGTCAATAAAAAAAAAAAAAAAATTGCTATTTCAAATAATTATGATAATTGTAGATGGAATTGTAAAATCGATTATTCGACATATTTGACATAGTATGTCAGCATTCGGCATACTTAAAAGTTATTTATTTACCATTTAAATTCCAGAAATACTGTTTTTATAAAGAATAAAAGAGTCGAGTATCAGTGAATGTTAAAGGTGCGTTGAATATTCAATTTCTAGGTCAACTGCTTGAAAAATAAAAGATAATGATTTCTCCAAATCACTTAGCAGAAATAGTGATTAAAGTGATTACGGGTCGTGAAAGTCGGAATTGCGGAATTGTTTATATCAACGGTAAATATATTCGTATAAAAGGAGATTTGTCATTTCCACTGGACCTTGATCATTGGAGAGGTTATATTGATACCGAATCAGATTGTTTCAAAAATTCAAAAGATATTTTACATTATTTTGTGAATAGAAATGCATTGACACATTTGACATTGGATGCTGACATTCTACAAGTTTTAAAAAACTATGTGAGTAAAATTAATTACATTTTATTATTATTTTTAAGTGATTCCTTGCTCGTTATTTGTTATACTCTCCTACATATACTTATTTAATATATATATATATATATATATATATATATATATTAAATAAGCTTAACATTTATTGTATTGTAAACAAAGAAAAGAAAAAAGTATTCCTCGAGTATACATCATATTTAAACTTAATAATATAGACTTTGCTTTAAATCGGTCTTTGAAAAATTTTAATTCAAAAGACTCTATTGCTGTTTATAATCAAAGATCTTTTATAGTTGTTAACACAATTGAAAATTATATTTGATATTTTAGAGACTGCGTTGTGTTTATTTATGATATTTCAGTTTTTACTGATAAATTTGATGAAGATTTTAATTTTAATACCTTTCCATTGATACATATTGTAGGGAACTTTATAACCACCATAAGATAATTTACAATTAGTATAATTATTACATTGAATAATTGTACTTGATATGCGAGCATTGTTGCACATGATCTTTTAAATTTAACAAAAAATTTAAACAAAATTTAAAGTAATTGTAAGAGAAAATTAATGTAAATATATATATTAAATTTAATGACATACGTACAATATTGCAGATAATCGATGAACTTAATGGGACGTATAATGAAATTAATTTACATCAACGATTGTACCTGGACTATACGAATAAGTTTGTTTTAATAAACTTTAGGCGATCGATCGTAGCATGCGATGCATTTAAAAGTGTTACGTGCAAGCATCTTCGCTCTGGAAGGAAGCAAAGCTGCATGAAACATTTTACGTTAGAAGTTGACAATGACAAAGTATCGGAAGTTACAAATTTAAGATTGTATTTCCTTCGTAAGGTGTCATTGAATTTATTAAAATGTCAAGACTTTGATGCGCACTGCGATGATAATATAAGTAATAATTATGTCTTTACAACAAAATCAGAGAATAATATCGATAAGAGCTCTAGTCCATATTTGTGCGGGGTTATTTTAAATGGTAATAAAAAAAAAGAATGCATTTTGAGCCAAGAAATGTATATACAGAAGAAAGTTGAAAAAATTAAAAAGTTAAATTACCTAAAGCACTTTTATTCGAATATTGATGCAAATATTGTTGAAAAAAATGTTGAAACAATAGCAAAAGCTTCGGTTGTTTATGAATTGCTGTCAGTAAAGCATTCGAGTCCTGTAATTATTGAAAAGTCTGACGATAAAGAGATTTGCATCAAAGGTATTCTTATATCTTTATGAAATTTTAAAACTTAACGTATTCAATTTTTTATAATTAATATGTTTATGTGTTTACAGAAGCAGCATTTATTTTGTATAATAATGTCAGAATTACTGCTATATTAAATAAATATACGAGATTAGTGTTTGACGAGGATTATCCACAACTTGACCCAATCGAGAGTGTCGTAGCTTTATACGAACTCGTAGATGATGTATGCCTTCAGTTTTATGTTTCGTTTTGTTTTATATTTTTATAGCTTTAGTATGATTAATGTAAATTTCTTCCAGGAATCGTGGTCCCTTATTTATAACTACATAATAAAATATCCAGATGTACTAGAGGCTGTCGTTAAAGTTGAACCAAAACTTGAAATTAATATTCATCTATTATGGGCATTTGTATCTTGTTTATGTCATGATTTTAGCAAATATTATCGAAAACATAAAATTATAATGGTATATAAGGATGGTAATGACTTGGTGAGAGTTACAACCAGAGAAAGGCTGCATTTGTTAAAAGCATTGCAAACTGTTTTAATTAACTCATTATCTTTATTGGATATCGAAGAATTGAATTATATGTAAAAATTACTATAATTTATATTAAATACTTTATATATAAAGTATCGTTTCTCTATTATTTCTTAAGCATTGCGACTCTATTTGTATTATAAAATTCTATTGCATGAAATAATAATGAACAATTGTTAATTGAGAAAAATATAAATTCTGTTACATAAAATTAATAGAAAATATAATTAATTCCTTTGGCATTCGTAATAATTAACATTTGATATGAAAAATAAAATTTACGTGAAAAGCAAAATTGTATATAAAGGAAAATACGTTGTTAAACTTTTTACGTAAGTGGACTTTTCACAATAGTAGAAAGACTTAAAAATTTTTTTCATGTTTTATCTATCCATATTTATTTTATTCATAAGTTTTACCAAACAAAATATTGAATTCACATAGGTAATGCATCGTCGTGTGGCATACTTTTATCGATGTAATTATATTTTTTTACTTAATCTATTAATAACGATTAGAGCAAAGCCTGACGCGTAGAAAATGGGTAAATCTTGGTTTCTTTCAAAACAGCCAAGCGCGATTTGAATGCGGCCACGTGCTTCATGGTAACACATACACATTGCAACGATAGGTTGTAGTCGTCTCTTTAACGCCGAGTTCGCTAAGTGCGCGGGATATTTTTAATAAGAATTGGCGCAGATGTGGGTTGGCGAAGGGAGAGAGAGAGAGAGAGAGAGAGAGAGAGATATTGGAGTCCAATCAGTCTCGATTTTTTTTATGCCCGTCGAAATTGCGCATTCGCGTAGATAAAATCGGCGCGTGCCGATCGTTGCGTAATTGGGCGAATTAATGGTCGTGATGACACCGTAACCGCGGACAATTATTTCGACCTCGTTGATGTTTGTCAAAAGGTAACTTTTAATAGTCAACTCGAGTGTCAGAGTCATCAGGACATACTTATTATTTCTACAATAGATGACTGATTTTAATTCCACATTATATTTATTTGTTTTCGTCTTTCCCCCCCCCCTCCCCCCACACACTTAGTTATTCGTCCACTCTTATTCGTTTTTCTGATAAATTAATATTGCCAACTCTTACGCGCTAGGCATATTATACGAACGTTTGTACGGGAAAATGACGGGAGTATGGAACGTTGAGTAATGCATCTGGTCGCTGGTTATCGAAGTATTAATTATTATTATTATTGCATTTTAACTTGATTTGTAATATTATGTGAGAATTAGATTCATCGAGAGTTCAAAATTCTGATGATTTTTAATGCGATGAGTACAGCAGCATTAGTGGCTGATATCGATCGTACGTAGTAATTGAATAGTAATTATTATATTTTTTAATGTCAGAACTGTGAGCGTTTAAAATCTCTCGTGCCTGCATTGCATTGAGCTCCGTAATGGAATTATGCGGCTATTTTTCATATACTTGGAGATATTATGCGTAAATCCGTTTTATAAAATTACGTCATGTCCGAGACGAGGAAATCCAGTAGCAACTTGTGCGTATGAAAAAGCAGCTGCATTTTACGTCTCTAATCGGAATGCTGAAATAAATGTTTGATTTACTGATCAATGGTGCGAAGGGAGAGAAAAAAAAAAAAAAAGAAAAAAAAAAAAAAAAAAAAAAAAAAAAAAAGTTTATTATAGCCCATATTATACAATTGTAATTATAATTATAATAAAGAAGTGTTTATGTAAAATTTCTTTCTTTTTTAATATAATAATCCAATTAATTAAAATAGTGGATTGTTGTTACGGGCTGAATGGGCATTCAACTCGAGACTCGATGGTTAAAATGAGTGAAATTTAGTTCATTAAAATTTGCTAGTCGACAAATTTCTGCAATTTTTCTTTTAATATATTTTTTAATAATACGGGAAACATGGACGAAAATATTTAAATGCTTGTCGGCAGTTGTCGGCAGTAATGAAAATTTTAAAGCGCAATAACACGTGGATTTCCGAGGATAGGTACATTATATCTGTAAGGCTTATCAGTCGAGGCTGAGGCTCTAATCGTAAAATATCTTCAATCTTTTATTCAGCTTGTATAATTTATTAATTAAGATCGTATAGCGAAATGTCGCGGTATTTTGTATATTTTGTTAAAATATTAATGTCAATATCCAATGGTCGAATGAAATGAAAGAGAAATTTAATCGCTGCTAAACAATTAGAGAAATTTTTAATGATGCCTTACGTAAAAATGACTTGAGTCCTAGTCGATTGTCGACATTTAATAATCATATCTTACTTTAAGCGTAGCGTAAAACAATAATGCAAACAATGTTTAAAAGTTGTATTTATCTCGACATTAAAGTGAAATAATAACAGCAAATGCAAAGGCGTCCGTTGTTGCTTTACGAAACGTCAAACTTTTATCCAACAGCCATTAAATTGAATTTGCTTACAGCAGAGAACGCGAAATAAATTAGGCAATTTAGTGAATTTACAGAATTTACGTTCGGAATACATCGTTATCTCGCGCAATGTATAATCGACGTACTTTCTGCCCCATCTCTCGTATAAATTCGTGTAACCCACCCCTTATCATAAGTTTCTCTATCCTCGAATCGTAAATCCCGCCTACTTTACACGATAATTTATAATAATAATTTACATGCTATTATTAAAGCTTCTTTCGCATACCAGTTCAATATACCCAACAAAAACGAAAGCATTCTTTCGACCATTAGCTACGGAAGAATAACAAACAAACAAAAGAAAAAAAAAAAAGAAAAAAAACGATAACGCTTCTCAACATAATTTATCATTTTATTCATACACTTTTGGGCGGAAAAACTCGCGCCTCCGCAACGTACAGCGTCGATCGTACACATACGATACGACTTACTTACCCGATTTTCAATACATCCAGTCCGATTTATTTTTTGCCTTTCGAGCTCGCATTTACATTTTCAATAAAATGGATGCGTTTCGATTGGCCGAGGCGATTTTATTCTTAATTTCGACATGGTACGCGCTCACCCAGATGGGGCGAGTCGATCAAGCAGCGCTGGCAGTTTAAACAATTTTTATCCAAACTCGTTTTCTAAAAATAAGCCGAAATTCGTTCGAGACGAACAATAAACATACGCCTGCGCAATGTCAAACAGAGTTTGCGTTGTAATTGACGTAATCGGATCGTGGGCTGATGGGAAGGGGGATGTGTGTGCGTGTGCGTGTGCGTGTGCGTGTGCGTGTCTGGGATGTGGGATGTGGGATGTGCGGGTGGGGAGGAGGAGGAGGGGGAGGTGGTGGTAATGGAGGAGGTGATGGCTAATTTCGCTCAAACGGATGCGCTAATTAGAAAATCGATCTGACGCTCGTCAGCCGACAAGCAGCATCGTTTATCGTCAAAGTCGACCGACACTTACGGTAAAATCGGTCTCACCCCATGGATCGATGGTGACGGACACCGCGAGCGATTGCTCCCGATCGCACCTAAGCGCCTACACCATTAAATACTCTGTTGTTGTGCGCTCGACTGAGCACGAGGCTGCTTGCCTTTTCGCCATACGGGACCGTTCCTGGCGAACGGGATACTCCTCTTTGTCGACTTTCTTTACAGCCGCTCCCGGGTACTATTGTCGGGCCTTACGCTCGCGCACCACTTGATTTTCTTGCTTGCAGTTTTAATTATCTTTCGAGGAATGACGAGGGGCGGTGGGATTCGATGGAATGATTTAAGGAGGGGGAAAACAAAAGGGGAAGGGTGGGGGGTGGGGGGGGTAGGAGACGTATCGTCGTACTCTTGATAAGAGATTGTTTAGCGCGAGTTTAGCGAGAATAAAGTAAAGAGCGCGTAGCTTTAGATAAAGGTGCTTTAGAAAAGTAAAGGAAAAACGAGAGAATAGAACGTAATTATAAAGGTTAGATTTTGTTTATCCAAGGTGCGATATTTTAAAATTATTTTCTTCATTTTAACGGACAAGAGAACTATTGGAGTAAGAACTTTAAGTATAAATACTTCGTTAAAGTGTGACTTTTAAGTAATTTTCTTGGGAGATGGGGGGTGGGGGTGGGGGGTTACGAGGGGTACGAGGAGTCGTCGATTGGATTGAATGTGTATTTGTTCATCGCGAGTCTCTAGCAAAAGTATATTTGCAAGAAAGAGGCGCGTACGAAAGTGTAAAGGATCGGCAAGAAACGTGGGCGCTGCGAGGCTGCCCGAACCTCATAATAAATGTCGGAAATAGCAATCGTTTTGAATGGGAATTGTTAGGGATACTGCAATGTATATGTATTTTGCAAATAATATCTCCGTGGGCTCGCGCAGATCGTCCTCTTCAATTCAAATATTATTTAAGGGATACGAGCGAAAAATGTGCTATTATAATAAAGCGAGCGCGGAGACTCGCGACAATCGACCATTAGATAAGAAATAGTGAAAAAGTGCCGATGAATAATATTGAGAAGCAGCAGCGATAATTCATCGCCTAATATGTAATAAAAGTGCACGTGTTTACTTTGTCAATATTCCTAGATAATTATCACCGAACAGTTTATGTTTGTTTCGCGAGCGTTTTCGCAAATGCCATTTAACTTTTAAAATTCGGTCTCTGCTGAAAAAGCATGCGAAAATTCAGTTGAGAGTGTCCCTTCCTCGCTTAGGCTTGAAACCTAATATACCCATCTCACATTCAATATTCTTGCTTTAAATTAATTATTACTCGAGGCCTCGCGATTCGACATGTCAATAAAATGGATATTTAATTTTAATCACCTTTGATAAAATCATGTGGAAATCGAGAGGAGTGATTTACTTGGAATTATAGGCGTAAACACCTGTCAATTATTGCATAAGACCACAAATGAAAATGGCTTCTTTTTCTGCTTCCTTTTTTTCTTCTTCCTCTTCTATTCGTACGAATAAAAAATTAAGCAAAAATGCGCACGCAATAACGCAACGAAACAAAGGAATAATAAGTGTAGTGTGAATTCAGGAAAATTGCAATAAATGCAAATGAATATTTTAACATGTAACGTGTGCCTGTAATAGGAAAGAATTACGAAAATCCCGTCAATATTTAATATTCATATTTCGTTTCTAAATAAAATTCGACAGAAAAACTTGGCCACGCTATTATAAAATAATATACTTATTATGATTGTCGATAGGTGC